CGACTTCTTCACCAGGGTCAAGGAGCTCCTGTGCAGCAATGGAACACACAAATTGAACATGGTAATGAAATCTCGACCACGTTGTGAACCACGCACCACATCTCTGACATGTTGGCAGACCTGTTTTCTCATCAGTAGGAAGAGGTGTACGGATGGGTCCTGGTCTGATGTCATGCTCCAGCGTCTGATGCCTACGCAACGCTGAAAGATTGAGAAAAACCTGTTGGCAAAGTTCACAAACAATGTCTGTCCGTAGAAGGAACCTCAAAGGTGCCACTGCATTCACGGAATTGTCGGAGCGCTTGGTCAAGAACCTGGCAACGTTGGCCGTAGTCAATGTCAGGTAGACAGTGAAGTATATCATTGTCAGCCAATTGAAGTCGTCTTTGCAAGTCCCTCTGTGCCGCCTGGATGCAAAAGTGCTGCAGCAGTTCCAATGGATCAGGAATGTTGTGCTGAGTCAAAAAGTCTTGATGAGTGTTTCTGTGAAGATGCGTTGGCATCCTACAGATGCGACGCAAGTGTTTGAAACATGCAACATCAAACAATTTGAGAGATTGCAGCGTAAATCCAATTGGGAGCAAACTGTATCTAAAGCAGGCGTAAATACATTGTCTCCAAACTTTCACTTTTTGGCGTGAATTGAAACCTTTGGTTGTGTGAAGCCATCTGGTGAGTTGGTGGCTGGTTTTCTCACCCGCCTTGAGCCGTGACAACATCGTTTGTCGTTCAAAGTTGTAGTAGCTGACTGTGGCACCAAGATATTGAATGTGTTGAGCCAATCTGATATACGTGAACATGCCATTTTTCCGAGGAATTTTCAACCATGCCCCTCCCTGCTTGCCACGGCGTACAAAGAGGCTGTGAGCTTTGTTGGATAAGGGACCCACAAGACGCAACAAGGCAGTTGTTTTCTCCAAGTTCACTGTCATGTCTGCCGCTTCCAAAATGTCCAAAACTCTCCCCAAATAAGTCAGCAGTGTGCGAAGCTCACTCAGGGAATTCACGACCTGATGAAAACAACCGTCATCTGCAAAAAGAGTAGAGTGATGAAGCATCCATTGCTCATTGATGTCGGAGGCAATAGACATTAAGATCAGCACCGCTTGGATTGTCCAAAGTCGTGGAGCGGCTTTACAGCCTTGCCGAATACCCTTGAGGGTTGCAAACTCTCTGTGGCAGTTCTTGTATTCAAATGAAAAACTGGTACCATCATACACAGATTGAAGAAACAAAATCAGGTTTCTATCCACCCCAAGTTCTTCCATCCCTTGATATAGCTGTGCGCGGTTCACCGCATCAAAGGCCTTTGAAAGGTCAAGGCTGAGAAGAACACCACCACCCAGCTCACCTGGCATCGCTCCAATGGATTGTTGGTGGACCGCGTACTTGTAAGAATCAACAATGGCTCTGACCTCACGGCAATGGCTTGCAATCCGATGTAGTGCATCATCACAACCACGTCCTGGGACGTAGGCAAACTGGGGTAATCCCCGCAAGGTGGGCCATAATTGTTCATGCAGGCGATCAGACAAGCAACCCATCAGCACCTTTCCGCAAGGTTCCAACAGCGCAATAGGACGAAGGTCCTGTGGACGCTGAGTTCTGGACTTGGTTTTCGGCAAGAAACAAAGATGTCCACGTCCCCAGCATTTTGGCACAGTGCCATCCTGTCCACATGAACGCAAAAATGTGTCTAGATGAGCTGATATGGATTCCGCTGCCCACCTCCAAAATGGGGCCGGTGCATAGAGGGGATCAAGAGCCTTGGTGAGTGGAAGCTGTCTGAGCCCCATAAGAAATTCCTCTGATGAAAAAGGCCAAGAAAAAGCAGGTGATGAGGCAGATACCTGATCTGCGTGATAAAGTCCACGAAACCAGTCACAAAGAAGGTCAGCCGCCTGCTCAGGACTCACCAGTGTCAGATCGTATGGTGACCTTTTGAAATGTTTGTTTGGGTGCCAATGAACGTATGGCCTGGTACATCCTGAAAGGATTGTTGGATCTCTCAGCAGTATCTGCAGCATCAAAGATCTTCTGCAATCTCACCTTCCGTGCATGTTTGGAGGCCATCTTCATTCTTTTGCGATCTTTGACACGTTGAAGTATGTAGAACCAAGCCTTGAACAGATTCAATGGCGTTGGAGTTCGAAGATCTGCCAAAAGTTGAGAATGCACCTGAAAACTGCGAAAAGGTGTAACCACTGCCAAATGAACTGGTTCTTTGGGAGGTGGACGCGTAGTGGGTGCAAATTGATTCAATGTCTCATGAGTGTCATCCAATGGGTGCGCAGTTGGAGAAAGATTGTCAACAGAGTCAATCACCTGTTGTTGCAATCGTAATGTACCTGCTGATGGATGAAGCCATTCTTGACAAAATTCAAGCCTCTGCGCTTTCGTCCAGCCCGTTTTCGAAGTTGGCCCAGTGTCCGTATGCCAGACCTTGAGCAGAGAAGTCATCAAGGGGATGTGAGAGGCACCAGACAACCCAATCAGGGGAAAGTCCTGAAGATACTGCACATTCCGGGAAGTGGCATCAGCCAGATGATGTCGACAGAAGATAAAATCGATCCTGGAATGTTTATCATCAAACCGAAAAGTTGGCCCAAGGTGATGTTGCCAGGTATTGAGAGCTGTCATACAATGGATGCCAATCAAATCCTGCAAGATGTGTGCATCAGTGTGGTTAGGGCCCTTGCGTCGTGTCTGTTGCCACGCATAAGAGTCCAGTCCCACCATCGCAGTACTTCTTGTCAGTGATGTATTCAGGTCTCCCAACATGATCACATTGTTACGCTTGGGAATGGAGTCCAAGAGAACAGAAAGTTGATTCCAGAAATCAAGACGTTGGTCCATTCTGTGCGAAGCATGAACATGTTGATAAATGTTGATCACATCAATACATTTGGAAAGTCCATGTATACGCAAATGAAGTAGACGTCCTGGTACAGGTTCATGCCAAGAAATCAAATGTTCGGGACAAAGTTTCTTCGAAATCAGACACATCACGCCTCCATTTCGTTGACCAGTGCCGCTGTGCAAAGCCCAGTAATGAGTAAGCACCCATTCAGAAGAAAAGGGCCAATGCGTCTCCTGTAATGCCAGTATGTCAATCTGTTGCCGCTCCATCCAAATTTGAAAGGCATCCCATCCATCAGAAGATAAGCCCCCAGCATTCCATGAGAAACACGTCAATCTTTGTCTCAATTTGTGTTTCAGTCCAGGTAAATTAGGAGGTAATTTCGTAGAAGGCATGCCGGGATCATGTCGGACGCCTAGATGTGAGGCACTTACCAAACACCCTCTGTACCATGTGAAACCATGTTGCTTGGCCCTGTTGCAGGCCCGTCTGAAACTGCGTTTGGCCACCTGTTTGCATGCATGTCTGGTGTGAAAGGGTTCGAAAACCATTTGGAGCTCCTGTTCATGCTTTTTCGTGGAGCTCATCGAGTCCACTCTCTCGTATGCATGACCACCACGAAACCCTCACCCCACTTTGGACTCCACCACGATAGGTTGTTGAGGTAGAGCAGCAAAAAGACCAAAAGTTTTGCAAACATGTCCAAAGCCCGGAATTGGGACCGGGGTGCAGCGCTGTGCCAGTCAATGATTGTATGGTACCCTTATCCAATCAATCACAATGAAAAACCACCAATCAAGGGAAGCGTTGTCCAGCAGGAAAGGTGAAATTCCACGGAAAAGAATTGTAATAAAGCCAAAATTCGATCCAATAAAATGTCACGGGCCAGATGTCGAGTGGGAGCCCACCCCAAAATGCAAGGTCCAGTCAGAAAATGGGAGACCACCCCAAGAAGTCAAACTGTAAGAAGAGGAGGTAGTACACCAAGCACAGGACCTGCTCAGGGTCAGAGCCGCGCGAATGTCAGCAGCAGCAGCGGCCGAGGACAGCAGCGCCACGGCAACGCACCTCGCCACTTCGAGGCCACCACGCCACCGCCAGAGCACCCAAGGAAGAAGAACGAGCGAGGGGCAATGGCAGCGGCTGACACCTAGGATCGAAGATCCTTGAACGCGGCACTCGCGGCCGCACAGGGGCTTGTGTGTGTGTGTGTGTTTTTTTCACGCTCCTTTTCTGATGACAGATCCGGCGCACGCCGTCAGCACTGGCATTGTGTCCAGGCCGGTTCTCAGCTGTTGTGAGAAACTTGTTGGACCCCCTACGGCTGCGGCGTCATGGGCACAAGTGGGAAAAGTGCCATGACTCATTGTTGGAAAGAAGAGATGGCAGCCTACCATGTACGGACATGGGCATGTCTGAGCAGTTGGCGATAAAAACGCGCCAGTGCATGGGCTATCGCCTCGTTGGGCAGAGTGAAACCTGGACTATTGTTTTTTTTTTGGACTTCTTTTGGTGGTCCTTTTTTTTTGGGGGGGGGGCTTCTTTTCGTGGCCCTGGAGAACTGGGGGTACACACTGGGTTTCAGTGGGCATGTAAAAGGAAGGGGATCTACCAGCGGGGAGCTGGGTGCATTCAGGGTCGGCAACTGGCGTTAGCCTTCATCAGAAGGGCTCAGAAGTCCGCCAAGGAATCCGTACAAAAGTTTTTTTTTTTGTTGTTGTTTTTCTTCGTCCAGGTTTCAGACTGCGCTGGTTTTCGGTTGGCTTTGGCTCTCCTCAAGGACATACGGTTGATGCATCTATCGGATTGGGAAATCGCCGGCTAGGCTGTTCGGGTTGGCAAAATGCCTGTTCGGATGTTGCCAAAATGGCGCAAGGTCGGAAGCACCGGCTAGGCTCTCATTTGTCAGGACACCTCTGGGCACGACCCACGTAGGGAGTAGGCCGACTTTGGGTGTCAATGGTGAAACAGTGCTATGCCTCCAATTTTTTTTAAATTTTTTTTTTGACTTCTTTTGGTGGTCCTCTTTTTTTTTTTGACTTCTTTTGGTGGTCCTTTTTTTTTGGGGTGCTGGGGATACCTACGGTACACTCCAGGGCACTGGAGGGCTTATGTGCAGGTGAAGCATATGCCAATGTGGTCATGGCTGTTGCAGGAGCTTCAATAGCTGGTCCTGGTTCTGAGCATGTCCGGGAGGAGTGGTTAGCAAATCCTCTTCCCATGCATGCAGGTCTATGAGATCCTGGCGGCAAAGCCAGATGCATGTCACTCCCTCTTGGAATTGGTGAGGAAGCATTCGGCATGGCCGTGGCGGTCTGTCATCATCACAGTGCAGCCAGTAGGTGTCGGCGTCTGGATGCCGGATGCTGGGCTGGGTGCGCAGCAGGGCCTGGTAATGTCCTGTGGCTGCATCTCCTTGGTGTGCAAACGCCGCAGTCATTTGATATCGTTCCCATGTGCAGTCCAGTCCATCATCTGTAAAAACGGGCACGTCAATGGGCCCTCCGAAAAACACCGGAGTATCTGTCTTGCGCACTCTGCCATGACCCTCATAGATGAATCGGTCCACGTGGACACACAGGACTTCTGGGGCTTGCAGCAGGCCAGCATACATGCCCAGGTCGTTGTGCCATCGCCTCAGCATGTCGGTCAGGCGTGCAATACCATCTGTGCTGTGTGAAGGGTCAAGTTGCAACGTGGGTGGTTGATACCTGTCACCTTGGTCATGTACCCGCACGCATTCATTTTCCATCAGCCTGCGTTGCCAGTGGCAGCTAAGGAAGGATGGTGCAACCCATTGCAACAGCATGCTTGTGAACTCTGCTGAATCTGCTTGGCCTCGATTTTCATCCCAGTTCTGGGTAATGCCCTGAAACCAGAGTTGCGCATCCAAATTAAAAGGCTGAGGCCTGAGTTCCAGCAGGAGATCACGAAACAAGTCATGTTGGCGTCCCCAATCTGTCAGGGTGAATGTGTCTCTACTCAGTCCTGACCACAAAAAGCATGTGAAGGCACTGTTGGCGTAGCACATGTGGCCCGTGTTGCCAAGGGTCATTCTGGCTACTTCCCGTCGGAGTGAAGCACGAAGTTGCTGGACTATTTGGTCTTGGTCTTCGACTTCCCTTTGCCGCGTCCTTTGTTCGGTGTCCCCTGCATGTTGGTCAGCTGATCCAGTAACTGCGCTGGTTTGCTGACCTGTTGGTTGTGCTGCTTGAGACTCAGGCCCAGGAGTCCCCACAGGGTGGACTGACTCAGCTGGTGGAACAGTCGCCACAGGTCGTCCTCGCGCAGGTTGATCTGGAGCATCCAGGGAACCACATTGGCTTGAGGTCTCAGTGAATGGAAGCGCATCACATGATCGTTGTCGGTCAGGAGCTCCACTATGAACTGGAGGTCCTTCAGGATGCGGCTCATGGGCAGCGGTGCCCGATGAGACTTGGTGAGCTTCTTCTCTGTGTGGCACCACTGTTGGAACGGCCACGACCCGTCCTGGAGAATCACTCCTTTGGTGACTGCCACGTCCCACAGTTGGGTCCCCTGTGTGCTCTGAGACAACTTGATGGCCCTCTGTTGTAGCTCCAGGATCAGGTGCTTCAGCAGGAAGGTGCGGAGGGTGGTGGTCTTCTCCGTCATGTCCTTCCACTCTTTGGCCTTCGACGTCAGCAGTGGGAGGGCTCCTTCCGCGCTGACTTGGGCAAAGATAACGAAGGAGTCCTGTCTGCGATCCATCTGGATGGCCCGATCGTGTTGCAGGACCACCTTGGCCAGGTGATGGATCAGTGTGAGCAGGGCCTTGTTCTGGGGGTTGTGTGGCTGAGCGGCCTTGTCTGCGCCGACGGGTTCCTGCTTGAGCTTCTTGTTCAGTGGCTCTTCGTCTTTTTCCCGCATGTACTGGCTCGCCTGCATCAGAAGGGGTCCCAGATGTTGGAAAGACTGCAGGAGCTCCGTATCCGACTGGTCGAGCATCAGCTGATCGTCCATGGAGTGGCTGCAACACAAGGGCAATTTGCTGGAGGACGGGGCAGTTCGAGGCAAAATGGATCTGCAGTTGTTCAGCACGTTCAGTTGCTGCGTCTGGGTCAACCGTGCTGTCATTGAAAAACAGTTTGCAGAATTTGCACTGATAGTCTTGTGGCTGTTCCGTCTGCATGCATTGTACCAGTTGAAACTTGAGCTGGGCCGCCCACACACAAGCATCATGATGATGGGTCAGTTGGTGAGTCATCAGAGCCGCTGTATGAAACCAGGCGCCACATAGCGTGCACCAATGCCTGAACAGTTGCAAGAGTGCAGGGGCATGCCAAAGATGGCTGAAGTCTCGGTCCAGCACCACATTTAACAGCATCTGAAATCTTGCATGATTTTCCAGTGCACGATGTGTGAGTCGCAATGTCTGCTCGTTGTACTGCTGCGGTATGAACATCTCAGTTTCACTGGTGTAGAAAATCATGGCCATTTGTCGAACTCCTGGGCAGATGTGGGTTCGACTGTCATCATTGACCGTTGGATTGCACATGCATCCGCGGCTGCTGATCAATGTCTGAAGCAGGTACCTGACTAGGTCATTGGATCGTTGCCAAAGCTGTCCATGCGCCTGTTGGAGATGCGCGTTGAGATCATTGGAACGCACATAGATCTCGCCGCATAGCTGGCAATGCAGCGTCAACTGTAAGCGCTGGTGAGCTGAAAGATGTTGTTTGTCCAAAAACCCAAGTGTCAGCTGAGTGCGCCACTTCTCTGCCGCATTGAGTGGGTGGTTTGTCGCAGTCGGATCGAAAAACTCACATTTGCCAGTGATTATGTGAGTTCTCAAGCCATCACGTGAGGTGAATGGTTTGCCACAGTGAGAGCATGCTGTGGAGCCAGGTACTGAGTCCCTGGCAACATTCCAGTCGAAGACAGTCACCTCATGTTCCGCCTTCAAATGGCGGTGCAGGCTCTGAAGGTCATCGCATCTGGTTTGGCACAGCTCACACCTGAGAACCCGGTCAACATCCACATCTGAAGTCTGGCAGTGCAGTAGCAGCGCAGCTATCTGGGTGAGCACTGTGCACGTGTGGCCGTGCATGAACTCCCTTTGGCAAAGCACACATGGGCTGGGGGACCTCAGTACCTTGGTCAGCTGGGCGCTTTTTGCAAAAATGCCTGTCACCACATCAGAGTGGTGGAGCCGAAAATGGCCATGTAATTCCTGGCAGCGATTGTTCCATATGCCGCAGATCATACAGGTGTGAGTCAGGTATTGGCCAATGGCAGGATTTTCCTGTAGTTGATGCCATGTCTGATCTCGGATGATCTGCTTCAGTGTCGGCCAAAATGGCTGGGTGGTGATTAAAAAGCTATTCCGTTCTGCTCGGTTGCCACTGATCACTGGGTCTGCAGGTGCAGCTTGGCTGGATGCTGCAGGGGCCTGGCAGCATGCTCTTTCCACATGGATGAGGAAACTGCGCCAAGTAGTAAACTGTTTATGACAGTGTTTGCATTGAGCTCTGCCAGGAAGTGACATGTCAAGAATGGTGTTTGGGGTGGTACGGTGTTGTGGCAAGTTATGTGCAATGGTATGATGTCTTCTGAGATTAGGAATGGAGTTGGTAATGAAACTGCAGTGTGAGCAAGTATACTGCACCTGTGGTGTCGTCATCAATGCATCACCATCGATGGGGACGTCCGGCATGCTGTGGTGTACCTGGTCAATCAAATGCATTGTATCTTGATGATGTTGCCAGTCGACCTGCTGTAAGAAGTCTGTTGGGTCCAGTTGTAAAGCGCGCCTCTGGAGTCTCAGCCATAGTTTCTCCGCGCCATGCCGCAAGAGCTGCAATGGGAGTGGAAGAGACTGGTTTTGTATTGCCCTCTGGTGAGTGTGCCCTGTCATGTAGGAGTGGTCACCGATCAAAATTCGAATCATTTGGAACACTGTGAGTTGGTAATCAGTTAGTGACTGCACCGTGACTCCTGTACCAAAAATTCCATACACAAGGATTGTATGTACGCAGGTGTGCCACAAATACATTCGATGAGATTGTCGAATTTGTCTGTGACGGAGCCAACGTTTGAGGCGAGCATATGCAATCCAGGCAGTCTTCTTGCGATGAAGCCACGTCTGCTGTTCAAATGCATGATAGGAAACAATCACTCCCAGGTAACGTCCCATGGTTTTCAACGGCAACGCCGTAGCCTCTCCAGTGCGACGGGGCAGCAACAGGTGTGCTTGATTCTGCAGGTAGCACATTCGGCCCTTGAGGGCATGCCGCACGTTGCTGCCAGTGTGGGAAAAAATCAAATAAGACTTTTGCAAAGAGATCTGCAGTTTGAGGCGTTCTATGCAATCAAGCAAGTGACCCATGCATTGCAAATGATGATCCAGCTCACCAACGGTCAGAAACTGGCAGCCTACATGCAGGTCGTCCGCATACAGTGTCAGGCATTGACGGATCCAGGCTTCTCCAGTCAGTGGTGTGAGGAGCCATAACAGTTTGTTCATGTAAGCCAACCATAACAACGGAGCAATTTTACATCCTTGTCGAAGGCCAACACCTACTTGTACGGAGTCCGTGTTTTGTTGAAAGGGTAAATTGTAATGTGTGTTTTCATGCCAACAAGTGATAAGGGTAAGTAAAGCATGGGGGGTGTTCAGTTCGTGGAGATGTTCAATGAGAATGGCTCTGTCAACACAGTCAAACGCACGGGTCAAGTCGAGCAATAACTGTACACCACCCAGTATGGTCGACCTGGGTGGGGATCGCATTTGCTGTTGGACCGACCGTCTGTGGTTGCCGACCAGCGCTCTGATTTGCCGGCAGTGGCTACTGACCCTGGCAATTGCATCTGCAGCTGATCTCATATGTAGGAATCCAAAATGGGGGGACTGACAAAGTCTGTGGGAAAGATGACATTTCAATTGATAAGTCAGGAGTCCCATCACCAGTTTCCCCAAAGGTTCCATCAGGGATATTTGTCTGAGTTGGTCGGGACTCCCGCATGATTTGCCTGGTTTTGGGATAAAATAGATCCAAGAGTCCTTCCAACTTCTGGGTATAAATGGGGGGTATTGACCCCACCAAATATTCAGGGTTCTGTGAATGAAATCAGCAACCTGCAAACTGGAGCCTTTCCAAACGGTGGCTGGCAAAAAAAGGCATTGCCGCTGCTTTGTGCGGGTGCAGGTTGTGCAGTGCAACGCAGAGATCTGAAATGGAAAACGGCACTCCCGGGGCTTCATCACTGAAATGTGGTAAGCTTGATGGTCCCTGCCATGTGGTGCGGACGTATGCAACTGTCAAGGAATGCGCTGTGTACTGATCTGCAATCTTGCCCTCAGGTGTACGCAGTCTGGGCTTGGCACATGATTTTTTGGGGGTGAATTTGTTCAGTATAGTGAACATGCCATGTGCATCATGTCTGTCAGCCGCTTGTTGAACCTGTTGGCACAAATCATGAAAGCGTCTGGCCCTAGCCTGTCTGGCTTCTTTCTGGTGGGCTCGCTGTGCAGAGCAATATCTGCTCCAGTGATACCATGTCCGAAAAAGTGCCTGCAGGGTCGGTCGTGAGGTCATGATGACAATCTGCTGGATAGCCTTCTTATGATGCCACTTGTCTTGAATCATGCGGTGAGAATCATCATAGTTAACGTGTGGGATGTGGGATTTGTTGCCTGGAAAAAGTTCCTGGAAAGTGGGAATCACACGTTGATGGAGAGTCGTGATGATCTGTTCCGGATCTGTCGATGGGTCAACTGGTTCCTCAACGGCTTGATCAACAGCAGTGGTGAGCGCCTGCCAAGCAGTGGAATCCTGGAGTTGGGCCATCCTGCATTGAGCTCTTTGTGCAAATGTACATGCCTTATTCATGTGGTGGACCTGGTATGCCATGTGAATGCGTTTCACCGAGCAAACTATAGGTACATGATGAGTAGTATTGACTGGCAAGAACTCAGCATGTTTAAGGTAAGCTGGTGTTTTGGCTTGTCCATCACAAGCATGCAATCGCATTATCACAAAGTCGATTCTGGAGGCGACTGAGCCATGGTGGTATGTCGGTCCTGTGGATTCCGTCCAGGTGTTGACTGCTGTCAATGAGTGCATCCGCAGGAAATCCAAAAAGTGGTGCATGTCCTCATGTTGGGATCCACAGGTCCGAGATCCTTGCCAGTGAAAATGTCCTGTGCCCGTCCATGGAGCCACTCCCGGCAGTGCTGTATTGAAATCTCCACTGCAGATGAATTGATTGCGCTGTGGAAGTTGACCAACATAGTCACTGAGCTTGGCCCACAAGTGTGCTCTCAGTTTGCGGGATTGAGTGGTCTTGTAATCCACGTGCTGGTAGACCGCCAGGATGTCAGTAGCCCGCTTTGCATGATGGATGCGGGCATGTAGAATTCTGCCGTCTTCCAAGGCCAGGAATCCTATTGAGTCTGGTGTTGCCAAGCGCCTGGCAATCATGATCAGCACCCCTCCAGAACGAGGATCATTGGAGGCCGAGTGCACATATGACCATTGGTCGTCTGACCAGCAGGAATTAAAGCTCCACTTCGTCTCCGACAGCACAACAATGTCAATGGGTTGTTGTCGTAGCCAGTACTTCAGCTCCAGAAATGAACTCTGGGAGAGTCCACCAGGGTTCCATTGCATGACCCTGAGCCGATGTTTTTGATCCTTGTAGGAACACCAGTTGTTTGTTTTCTGTGGTGCTGGTGGAGTTGCATCACATTTGTTGATCAATGTCTGGGGAAATTGGTCCACTGTGTATGCTTGTCCTCGAAACCACGCCATACCGTGCTGAAGTGCACGCTTGCATGCCCGTTGAAAACTTCGTTTCTGTATCTTGGTGCAGCGCTTGTTGGGGATGTGATTGTTGAGCCGGAGCCCATTGTCGGCGGTTGTCCACTGTTTGCGGTCTTTGTCAAAATTGACAACCAATTGATTGCTTCACCTGCACCTGTGGTTGTGCAGGAACCCTCACCCTCATGGCTGCAAAAGAAATCTGTGATTCTGGTCTGATTGGCAGTCATGCCCGGATTTGGGACCGGGGTGCGATCTTGAGCTATCCAAAATTGGAGTAGCAACCCAATGCAAAAGAAAGTTTGCATGTTGTGTCCAGTTGTTGCAATATTGTAGAGCCAAGCCCGCAGGGGCAAAAACTTTGGCCAGCAAGCAGGTAAAGGCTGTCGACACAATGGATAAATAAAAAGTCACAACGGTTGAAATTGTCGGGCCAGTAAAATTGAAGCAGGAGCCCACCCTGATTAGATCACCGCGGGGACAGTCAGAAAGGTGGCGCCCCAAACCACTGAAAATACCAAAATTGTTGTTGGACCAGTGCACGGGCGCAGGGAGTCCACCCCTTGTTGTCCAATGGCCGGCGCGCGGGAATCGACAAAAACGTGGGCTGAGCGATGCCGGTCCCCTAGCAACTCCTCGTTGCTTGCTCGCGGTGCTCGTGACCGCACAGGGCTTGTGTGTGTGTGTGCGTGTGTGTGCGTGTGTGTGCGTGTGTGTGCGTGTGTGCATTCATTGCCTACTTACTTCGCTGGCCTCAGAAAGTGCCTCCAAAACCGGCACTTGGAGCAAGCAGTGAACCTTCAAAATAGCGGTTCAAAATAGCGGTTTATGGAAGCTGATAATTCTTGGATGAACAAAGATTGGATAATCTATGCACGGAAAATATGTTGGCATCAACACATGATTTCATTTAACATGTCAAATGGCCCTGCCTCTGCGTGACGTTGTGCTGGACGTGGCCTACTGCGCTTCAATGAGAGCCCTGCTGCTCTCGCCTGACCAGAAGGGACTGGTACGAAGGGCCCAAACATCCCAAACCAACAATGGAGGTGAGAAAGTGTAGAAAATTGCTTAGAGTCTTAGAGGGTTCTTTGGGAAGCAACCTTGTGACAAGAGGAAAGGAGTAACGGAGTAACGGAGTAACGGTAACAAGGGAACAACGAGGCAACAAAGATCGGCCATGCTTTTGCATGGTTTTTGGAAGGCGATGGCCTCCTCTGACCTTTCGAAGGTACGTAGTTTGCCACCCAACCTTCACCAGTGCCAGGGTGATGGCAGATATTGAAGTGCGACATCGTACTATATACCTAGAATGACTCGGGGCTGAGGGCAGCACTGCGGATCAGGCCCTCTTGGACCCAAAGGAAGTGTGCAGTGGTTGAAGCCCAATGCAATAACTGCCCAGGCAGCCACCGAATGCTCCAGAAGAAGATCATAGACGTCAGCATTTTTTTCTATGCATCAAGTCTACACCTCCTTTTGAATTCCGTGAAGTGCCATTTTTTATCGTTCCAAAGCATTTGCCAATGAAAGCTTCGTTGAATGAAACCTGAAACGCCTTTGCCATATCAAACATATATAGTGAGCAGTTGAAAAGTTCGTGCATCTTAATATAGCTACCTTGGAAACTCTCGATTGCCAATGATCCAAGCACCACAGCAGCTACAGTACCACCAACTCGCACCTTCATCATCGATCAAAAGCAAGGCCCCATGCCTTCTGAAAAAGACCCCACCAGCCTAGCACAGTCGCAAATCATCCCCCACGTGCGATATTTCCATGATCCACAAATCATCGTGGCCTCCCCTTGGCAAGCCAACTCAGCAGCCCGTTGAACTCGCTGAGACCAGCCTGCAAGCTCCAATGCCCTTACGAAAATTGCTAGCCGCTCGACATACGGAAGAACCATAAGAGTCTGACAGCTGAGTCTGGAGTTCAGAGCTTTTTCTGAGATCAGACCGAGAGCCTGAGGCTGAGATGCGGCGACATTGCAAGTACTGACTCTTTCTCTCTCTCTCTCTCTCGCTCTCTCTCTCTCTCTTTCTCTCCATCATCTACCTTCCCATCCTTTCCCTTTTTCTTGTCAGCCTTCAAGTCTGCGAGAAACAGGGGCTGCAGGGCCAGGTTCAAGTCAATCTGGCGACACAAGTCCAGCAACAGGCAGCACTGGCAGCACCCCGCTGTCCACTCCAAGCCTGTGAGTCTTGCAGCATCTCCAGCGATCTCCGGATGCCAATATGGTCACCGAGCTCCAGGCAAACCTCATCTGTCTTCCGTCCATCCCAAAAACCCAAACATCTGAGCCCACAAACCTTGGTCCCACACCGACATGTACAGAATTGAAGCTTCGACGTCCTTTATAAAGCAGCTGGATACCACCAGAAGAACCAGAGACCAATGGAAACACAGCTCTGACGGCGTTGGACATAGCGCTGGCACTGAGATTTGCTCAAGCAAAAAAAATGTGCCCGATGTGCCAATAATATACCCCCAATATACCCTGAAATCCCTGAAATCTCAAACTGCTCCTCCACTCCAAGGGTCTCCCAGCTCTCAGCCGCCAGCTTCAACCTCATGATACAGTATCCCAAGCCACTGTGGGAACATGAATTGCGGTACACACTCTGACCCGTCAATTCAGTGGTTGGCCGGTTGGGCACATCTTATCCCAAGGCCAAGTCCGATCTGCTCTAGCTGCACCACCTTCTTCCTGCCAATGTGAGGTCAGCAAGGCCCCTGTCTAGAGCAAACTTGGCTTATCGCAGTTGTTTACGCCTCCAACCACTTCGGGATCAGCTCTGTTGCCAGAACTGACCTGTAGAGAAATGACATGGACTCGAGCCGTAGACGGAACGTGGATCAACGTCTTACGACATCAGCTTGGCTGATCTGGGCTGCTCACAAGGGAGATTCACTGCAGATCTCTTGGTTGAGACATGTCCTGCTCTATGCGGAGCTGATTCCCAAAGACAACATTGTGCTCGCTTAGTGTGAGACGGGGCTCCTTCGAAAGCATGTCAACTCCTAGGCCAACCCTCAGACTGACACCTTCACGTGTCTCGATATTCTGAAAGCTGTTGAACACTGCCAACCGAATGTCCTCCGAAGCTTCATCATCATTTGGACATTCCCAGCGCAATGCCCGGCGCAGCAAAGGCTGCGCGAAACTGTGGATCTCGTCCTTGCTGCGAGCAGCCGAACTGAGTAACAGATGATTGAAGGGAATCTCCGGCAAGTTATGGTAAGGCTGTCAGTTTTCCCCTTAACACGCCTCTGATAGCGTCAATCCGCGATGATGTTGCAAGCGTCCCAGCACACCAAGAGCCTCCCCAGCAAGTCCCATAGAAACGTCGTAGAATCGAAGTTAGCCCCAATGTCAGGGGTAACAGCGGTAGCAATCCAACGTCCAACGATGCCCCACGATGTCCAATGCCTCATCAGCAAACATGGCATCCTCTCGAACAAGGGCAGCACGGAGAAGGCCACAGACCCTGCACGCTTCCAACTAAAGTTTCCCCCAGAAGTCAAGGTTCAAATGTTGGTTCAAATGTTTTAAGTCCTGCAAATGATGCCAACAACTTTGTAGATGTTTGCAGTACAATGTCGTAGATGCGAAAAATATAGTTGAGACATGATTCTGACATGATGATACTACTTAGTACTTTTTTGCTGCCAGGCGCTTGCTGCAATTTGCAGCCTTTGGATATCCGAAGCTCGAGCTATGCACAGGGAATGCCGGGCAAATGGACAGGAAAACGATTGGCTGCACTTCGCAAGGGCCATGCCCAACTGGTCTCAGAACATCTGGGAACCATGAGTAAAGCGTTTAAAGCTCTCCAGTTCCAGATTTCAAAGTCTTCCCAATTTCGTCGATAAAGAAGCTGACCTTGCATGAGCTGTGTGGCCTTCAAGGCCATGCGGGCCGCAACTGCAAAGGCTAAGGATAAAATTTGATGAGACATGCTGAGACTTGTACCGTCTCCTTGGCTATGTGCATTGACAGGAAGGTGCCAGGACAACCTCGAGGTGCAGCAGGGCAACCTGCCACTGTGGGGCAAGTCTTGAAGTCGCCCCACTCCTTGGTCGTGGTGCGATGGCGAAGCATCTGCAAAAGCGTTTCGCATCCGTCCAAGTCCGGTTTAAACTCTTCGTCGAGATGCATTATTCCAGGAAAGAAGGCGCTCAGCCTCGTACAACTTCAAGGCGGGCTGAAAGGAATTAATTGAATCGCACCAAAAAAATCACCATCGAATCTATCACCATCTCTGTTCTGGGTAAGACACGTTCTCACGGCCAGGTCTGAAGTCATCCGGATCCTTGAAGATCTGGGGATCGTGGTTCGCACCACTGCTCAACAGCATTGCAAGCTCACCTGCAACAGAGTGTCCAAACATGTCCAAACACTGTCTTTTTATCCAGATATGGATGGAATCGGTGTTGTTCAATTGTGTATCCAAATCAAGGTTCCATCTTGCAATGGAAGTCTTGGGGCAAGCCTTCTCTGGCGCTCCAAGTCTTTCCGATCGAAGGGAATGTGATCTGCTTTGGTTTTCTATACTGCACCGGGTTCATGCCACCCACAGGTGGTCTGATTCGAGCAGCTTCCAACATAAAAGCCAGTGGATCCGCTCTGAAGAGCTTCACAAGTTTAGGATCCTGCAGGAGCTCTTGACAATTGTTGACATACTGCAACTGGCATGGTGGAGCAAAGGAAAAACATGGAAAAACGGTCCTTGCGGATCATCCTCAGCGTCTCATATGCCAAATTACTCGTTCCGCCATAGCCAGCAAACAAAGCAATCCAAACCATTTCATCGAGCCGCTCCTTGCCAGGCCTTCAGCAATAAAGTCAGCACCGAACTGGGACAGCTCGCCGCCAACTGCTGCGTGCTGCCAAGTGCTGCCAAGTTTCATGCCCCGCTCCTTGGCCAAGGCCATGAAACTCTGAGCAACTTCTCCAGGTTCCACCTTCCGCATCACAGAAGCCCGAATTTCTGAGAGACGCCGTCCTGCAGAAGAAAGAGATGAACCGCACGCATGCACACATGAGAATGTATCAGCGAGAAACTATTAAAACCATGGCTAGCGGCAGCTAGCATCATTGCAATCATCTGAGCTGGTGTTTCTTAACCGTGTTTTGCCACTTGAGCAAGATTTAGCATTGCAGTAGGACGTTGGTATGCTTTGAACATGAATTTGTGACAGCTACTTCCTTGGAAGCCCAGGACAGGTGCGCCCAGAACTGCAGGCGTAAATGTAGCATCCTTAGATCTGTTTGATTGCGTTGTTCAAGCATCCCTACCACTTCATTTCATGCTGCTTTTCTTCGTACACGATCATGAGCAAAACAGCTCTTCCAACAATTGGAACAAGCAACGTACTCAAATATGGCCGGCAATTCATCAGCAACATCCACTCCAAAGAGGCTTCTGAACCTCGGTGTTCCCTCTCCATCCACATGTACCCGATCTACCTTAGCCCTGTCATCCAAGAACATCTGACATTTTGTGGAAATTTCTGGCACACTTTATACAGTCCACTCCAAGTGCGAACAAAGGACAGGTTGTAGCCAACCATGTCAAACACGGATCTTTTGCCACTGTCACTGGGTGCAACACCTGGTGGAACCTTAAACTCCGGCAACTGCGCACCATAAGCCAAGGCTGGCAACCTGGGTTCATCAAGTGGTCAGACATTTCCGGATACTGATTCACAAAGGATGAAGCTGAATCGAAACAATATGTTGTTTCTCTATCCTGTTTCTTACAAACTGCACAAGCGAACTCTTCAAGTGCGGGGCCCATCTGCCAAGAGCTGCCTTCGAGCGGTGTGTTCTGTGGTACCAGTGTCAAAGTTCAACAAAATATCAGAAGAAAGGTCTGGCATCACTCCTGACGAAGAGCGCGCGTGTCTGCAGCAAAACGTGATGTGATTTATATATATATAGGTTCGAAGGACTTGTGTCTGAACGATCTGCAAGAATGCAGAGAACGGTATTCCTCGAATGAGCAAAATGTAGAAGAAAGACTGATGGGGGGCCACAAGATTCAAGGATATTCAAAGGACGTCAGGATTTTCTGCATCTCTGACAGTCTGAAAGAAAAGAAACATTTGCCTCATTCAAGATTTCACCTTGGTGCCTGATGATTTGGTAGCCAATTTTCTGCTACCATCCAGTACCCCTTTGTTCCTGAAGGTAAGGAAGTTTTGTTGGAGGCAACCATCATATCTCGAGGCCGCCCTGCAGCTGGATCATAGGTCCACTTCCGGTACTCAGAATGCGAGAAGTAAATAGTGCTAACACCTCGGTGCCATGTCCTCACCATGGGTGCAGTTTCAAAGTTGAAGCGCTCGGATTGATGTAACAAGAATGCCAACAAGTGAAAGAGGTAATTTGAAACAAGAGTTTAAAAAGGCAAAATCCAAGGAACGGTGACCATGATATGCCATGCTCGGGGCAAACACGGCGCCGACCCCAACTCCAGTTTCCCATTTGAATGTCTGGATCAGTTCTTGAGCAAACTGATCCTTCACACAGCCCAAGTAATCGCCCAGGCAATACGCAAAGTGACGGCCTGCAGGCTGAAAACCATGCTGGAACTTTTACCCGCACCAATTTCGTCATTTGCGTTTCCATCTTTTGTACTGGGTATGCCAATCGGTCCTGTGGAAAGAAGCCCGGCTAAAAGCAAAGGCGTACCATCCAAGTAAGTCACCTGGGCTCTGTAGAATTCCAAAGATACATCCGGCACCAAGAGGGTGCCAAACGACCTCAACATGCTTTGGGTCAGTTGAGAGCACTTGAGGAGGTCGTTTGCCGTTTGTCTTTCTGCATCTCTCTCTCCCTCACTCAATTTGAACTTGTGCATGGAAAGGTTATGTATCTCAATTTGTCACAAGGCACGCCAAAACAATAAACAGAGTCGTCAGTGTGCAGCAGCAAGCACCAAAAGCGCACATGGTCACGCACATGCGCGCTGCAAAAGTCTGCCCACGCAAATGCCAGGCATCTCTCTATGTCGTTGTTTGGCTCAGGCTGCGAAGCCACAAAGTCGCAGCATTTTGGAGTTGTTGTTTTCTCTTCATGTGAATTCCCAAAAGTAGCCACAAGTCACCAGGGCCTTGCCACAAGGTCGGGTTTGGAGAACGGCGTGATGTCCTGCACAGTCGAGAAACCCAACACAAATGAGACGTTTTCTTTGCACCATTTGCAAATAAGCTTCGGTGGTATCCCCAACATCCGCAACGTTTTATTTTTACAAATCTTTCTGAAGCGAAGCCAAGCGCTGCAAATACCGCAGCTGGGTCTGCACCCAAGCCTCCCAGACCTTCTCCGGAACCTTCTCCGGAACCCTGTTGAACCTGACCTGGCTCTGCACCAAAGCCTCCCAGACCTTCACCTTTTCCGGAACCCTGTTGAACCTGACCTGGCTCTGCACTGCACCATAGTCCCAGACCTTCTCCGGAAAAGCCCCTGCACCCCCAACCTTCTCCGGAACATTCTCCGGAACCCTGAACCTGACCTGGCTCTGCACCAAAGCCTCCCCAAAGCCTCCCAGACTTTCACCGGAACTTTCGCCGGAACCTGACCTGTCTCTGCACCAAAGCCTCCCATACCTTCTCGGGAACCTTCTCCGGAACCTTCTCCGGAACCCTGTTCCTGACCTGGCTCTGCACCAAAGCCTCACCTTCTCCGGAACCTTCTCCCGAACCCTGTTGAACCTGACTTGGCTTTGCACCAAGGCTTTCTGGCCTAGTCCGGAACCTTCTCTGGAACCCTGTTGGACCTGACCTGGCTCTGCACCAAAGCCTCCCAGACCTTCTCCGGAACCTTCTCCGGAACCTTCTCCGGAACCTCGTTGAACCTGACCCGGCGCCTGCACCAGTGCACACCGGAGCTATTCTGGGCTGAAGACCCCATTAGTTTCCGCTGTTGGGGGTAGAGTGCAATCCTGTCCTCAGAAACGATTTCTGCATGCACCTGCAAGAGGCTTGAAGCAAACATGAATGTCATAAAAATTGTGACTGCATGCAATTTTCCGAATCAAAGTGCGAGTATCTAAAAACAAAAACAACCAGCCTTTTGCAGCTCACGGTTGCTAACCTGCCACTCACCCCAATGATTGAAAAACATAGAAAGACATGAGTTGCGAATGAAACCTTTTAGTTTTATTTGTATTAAAGAATTTGCGCCTTGGGGTGCCCACTGTGTCTCTTTGCTGCATTGGAACAAGGCCAGCCTTCCACCTCCTGACCTGACGCCAAGAAAACATAAAATAGTACTACAGAAGCCTCCCGTTCATTCATGATCTGCCACAAGAATTCAACCCGTTGAAACCAACACAAAATGACAACGGCACAATGATGGTAAGGATGACGCCAACCCTTCCACGGTTGAGTTCGCGCCACACCAAGGATGCACGGACCTTTGAACATGCATTTGGTTCACAAGAACGCGTGGGCATACTCAATTCCATCCACAAATTTAATCATCACCAAAAGTGAAGCAACGCCCACCTGACAGGAACAGAATCTTTCTGTTCTACGATGGCAAAACCTTAATTCAATGCTGCATGCGTTGCTTTGCCCGGCAGGAAACCGTTCCAGTTCGGTCATGTTGGCACACTTTTGTTTTGCAAATGCAGGTGACGTCAAACAACGTGGACACTTGTATGCCATTTGCAATCAAGGAGCACAAAGAAGAAAGCCACCGGAGCAGCTCGGTTGCAGGGTGACCTGCTGGAGGCGCCAAAGCGTTAACCAATGCATGCTGAAGAGAGAACATTTTTTACTATGGAGATCAAAAAAAATGCCAACGAACCCGAATGCAGTCACAGAAAACGCTTTTGTGAAACAACTTATTTCAACAGCTTTGTACATTTTTCCCCTGTTACCGTACCAGTGTAGGCTGTGGACTGTGGAAAGGGGTGGGGTCCAGAATGTGGAGTGTGTGGAGTGCAAAGTGTAGTGACTGTGGAGTGCGGAGTGTAAAGAGTAGAGCGCCAAGTGTAGTAGTGTAGAGTTTGGAGTGTGGAGTGTAAAGTGTAGAGTGCGGAGGGTGGAGTGTAAAGTGTGAAGTGTAAAGTGTAACGTGTACAGTGTGAAGTGTGGAGTGTTAAGTGTAGAGTGTGGGGTGTAAAGTGTAGAGTGTGAGTGCGGAGTGTAAAGTGTAGAATGTAGAGTGTAGAGTGTAGAGTGCGAAGTGTAAGGTGTAAAGTGTTGAGTGTGGAGTGTAGTGTGTGGTGTGTGGTGTGTGGAGTTCCGACTGCAAAGTGTAGAGTGGGGGAGGGTGGAGAGTGGAGTGTAAAGTGTAGAGTGTGAAGTGTCAAGTGTACAGTGCGGAGTGTAAAGTGTAGAGTGTGGAATGTGGAGTGCGAAGTGTAAAGTGTAGAGTGTAGAGTGTGGAGGACAAAGTGCGAAGCGCGAAGCGCGAAGTGTAGAGTGTGGAGTATAAAGTGTGGAGTGTCAAGTGTAAAGTGTAGAGTGCGGAGTGTCAAGTGCAAAGTGTGAAGTGTACAGTGTAGAGTGTGGAGTGTAGAGTGTAGAGATTAAATTGTAGAGTGTGGAATGTAAAGTGTGACGTGTAGAGTGTAAAGCGTCGAGTGTGGAGAGCGCCTGCCACGCCTGCCACGCCTGCCACGCAATGCGCACGCTGTCACCATTTCACGCAGCGCACAATAATTCAATAAGATGTGCCAAAAAACACACAACACGACTCGTCTAAAGTGCTGCGCCTGCCGCGAAAAAGGGAAGATGCACACGTCCAAAGTGCTGCGCCTGCCACGAAACATGCAAGTCATCTTCTGGAACCTTGCAAGAGTATTGCCAGGTGCAAGGTGAAACAAAACGACTCTCGGCACTTTTTCAGACACGTGAGAACGTCACGAAATGCCAGGCCTGCCACGCAAAACAATATTAGAACGTGTTTCGAAACCCTCGACAATGAGAGGGTTTGCAGCTTCCCCCATAGGCACGGCGACGCCACAAGAAAACCAGAGAATCGAGATGAGACATGCTGGAGCCTCAAAATGAAATGAGCACTTCATGCGAAACTTCTTCAAATTGTCAAAAACGACGTTTTCCCACGAGTTCGCTCATGAACACCAAAATCCACAACCTCAAAATCAATGTTTCGTGGGAGGCTTCCGTCAATTTTCATCACATGTCGAGAAAATGCCACGCTTGCCACGGAATTTGCACGTTGTCACCACTTGACGCAGCCCTGACAATGCGATTCAAAAAAACACGTAACACAAGTCTGAAGTGCTGCGCCTGCCACGCAAAATGACGATGGAGGTCTCCAAGGTGCTGCACTTGCCACGAAAAATTGAAGGCCATCCTCTGAAAACGATGCAAAAGTCTTGCGCCTGTCTGTCACACAGAACGACTTTTGACACGTGATGAAACACGTTCGAATGTCATGAAGAGCCACGCTCGTGACACGAGGTTACGCAACGTTTGGGACCTCCAACAGTGACTCCCCAGAGGCACGGCCATAGCGCAATCGTTGCGAACGGGTGCCGTCGGTTGCGGACGGTTGCCGACGGCCGACGGTTGCCGCCCCCAGACCCCCAAAGTAAAACGAGAACCCTTCGCCACGCATTCGGGAAAAAGCAAGATAGAGAACAGATGAATACCGGAAACAAGAAAAGCGTAGAGCAGAGAAGAGTAGAGAAAAGAGCGCAACGCAGCAGGAAAACAAAAGGGAAGAGGAAAGTAAAGAAGGGAGTGGGGCAAGAGCAAAGCAGAGTAGAGTACAGCAGAGCAAGGCAGAGTAGGATGGAGAACACGAAGGGACGAGCAAAGAAGCCCAGAGCAGAGAAGAGCAGAGAAGAGTAAAGCAGGGAAGAGAAGAGCACAGAAGAGATCAGAAGAGACCAGAAGAGTAGATAGGAGTAGGAGTAGGGACAAGGACGGTAACGAAGCAAAGAGCAGGGTGGAGTGGAGCAGAGTAGGGAAAGGGTAAAGTAGCGTACCCTAGGACAAAGAAGAAAGGAGAGACGGGTAGAGTAGCGATCTAGACAAGAGTAGAGAAGCCAGACTACATAAGACTTTAAGAGAAGAGCAAGCAAGCGTAGACTGTAAACAGGGTAGCGCAGAGAAGAACGGAATATAGAGAAGAGGAAAGCAGAGCAGAGTAGAATTGAATAGAAACTAGACGACGGTTGGCCCGAGAGCGAAAAAGATGTTTTTCAAGCAGCTCTGAGGATGGTAGTCGCAAAAGATAGTCGGTGAATAGTTGGTGAATTTTATATGAGCTATGGAAAGATATGGTGTGAAAAAGTAAGATTGATCAAGAAGAGAATATTTGGTAAAGGGCATCAGATGACATGTGTCTTGCAACCACAGAGAGAAAGAGGGGGGGAGAGATAAAGATAGAGAGAGAGAGAGAAAGAGAGAGAGAGAGAGAAAAAGAGAAAGCAAGAGAGAGAGAGAGAGAATGAAAGGGGGAGGTAGAAAGAAAACATGGAGAAATGTAATGTGAGCAACAAAAGTGCACAGGAGGCTCGGTACCATGAGTCTGCGAATGACATGTGCTATCTGATTTTATTATGGTAATTCCCACACACATTGCGGAAAAAGGCTCGGCACCATCATTCCGTGAACGCGAAGAAACGCGAAGCTTTTATACAGAGACGCTTTTACACACAGAATCTTTTACACATAAACACTTTTACACACAGACGCTTTCACACAGAGACGTTTTTCATGCACACACACACAGACGCATTTCCACACAGAGACTTTTACACAAAAACACTTTAACACACAGACGCTTTTATACACAGACACTTTTACACACATACGCTTTTACATGCAGATGCCTTTTTACAGACGCACACATACTTTCACACACAAACGCTTTTACACACAGACGCTTTTGCACACAGACACAGACGCTTTTCCACACAGACCCTTTTACACACAGACGCTTTTACACACAAACACTTTTACACACATACGCTTTTACACACGGACGCTTTTACACGCAAACACTTTTACATACAGACGCTTTTACACACAGACGCTTTTACACTCAGACACTTTTACACACAGACGCTTTTCCACACAGACCCTTTTACACACAGACGCTTTTACACACAAACACTTTTACACACAGACGCTTCCACAGAGACTTTTACACAGAGACGCTCACAAAGCGCGGCACCACTGGGTGACCTCAGTTGCAAACAAAGGTGCGCAAACATAGTTGCAATGGAAATGCTAAAAAATCGCAAAAGTGCACAAGACCAGGCTCAGTACCATGATCAACGCACAATCCAATGCAAGGCATCCGCTCTTTGAGATACAAAATAAGCTCGGCACCATGATGCCGTGGATGACCTCAGTTGCAAACACAGGTGGGCAAACATAGTCGCAATGGAAATGCTACAAAATGCAAAAGTACACAAACAAAGGCTCCGTACCATGGTATCCAAAAGAATCTAGAACTCCGTGCAAGAATGCTGTGAATGATTCCACAATAGCAAGTTCGATATCATGATAGCAAGCAAGTGTGACACCTGTTTCACTGCATTTCTCCGATGTCCCTACAGGATGGAAAAAAAAATCTTTACAGACAAACAACAGTTGGCTACTGGTTTTGCATGTTCGTCACGAACAGTCTCTCCAGACGAACACTGCTACAGATTAATTTGCGCCAGTTGCACTCAGTTCCATGTGCCACTCGGTACGCAAGCCTTCCAGCTCCCACAAGCTGCTTCCAAGCAAAAGTCGGTACCATGATGCTGCAGATGTGGCATGTTTGCCGCTTTTACTACTGCAGCAATCCGGCTACTGCGGTCGATCTTTATCTGGGCACCTCCACGGACACGACCTAAGTTCCAGCATCTCTGTGCTCATACTCGAGATTCACAACGCAGTCGTTGCAGTGCCCGCAGATGTAACATCTCTCGGCTGCCATTGTCCTCCAAACATGTTCTATGCTTGATTTCAAGACAATGCCATGACATGCTTGATTTCAAAACAAAATTGAACGGTACAAAATTGAACGGTACAATGATTCCCGTAGTATTTTTTTGTCCACTGCTCATGCATTTCAATGAAAACATCACATATATTTTTTTTCGTGCCATACATCACAGTATCCACTGCATCGTAAACAAACACTGACATTGTCACAATGCAATTCTCGAGATCTCACGGACAGCCCCTACAGAAACCTCGAGAAGTGCCAGAAATGTTAAAGATACCTGTTTGCCAATCGTCACTTGTTTCACGAACATTCAGCGCACATATAAGAATACGGATGTTCACTCTGTGCACAATGCATCTTGTCTCTACGTTCACGTCTGAGCCCAGGAAAGAGGTAAAGAGGTAAACTATGCTTGTCGCTGCAGAGTTGCACAATCCACTGCAAAGCATTTGTTCTCCGACTTCCAAACTGAGAACACCACTCATGAGTTTGACATGGCAAAGAACCACTGTCGCAGAGACCTGCAAACTGAGGGCTGAACGCATCAACAAAAAACTACTTTAACAAAGCTCGGCACACCATCTTGCATCATCTCACCATGCCTTGTTTCATCTTGCATCATCCTGGACTTCCAAACTGAGAACACAATTCGTGAGTTTGACAGTTGGGATGGGCATCA